AATCAATCAATTCATTAATCAATCCACATACACACACACACAAACGTACGTTTTTTTTTTTGTTTTTTTTTTTTTCCCCTGAACTGCGTGCTCCCCCTGTGGCTTCTGACTCGCGCAACCCGGTGCGGGGCGCGCGTTCAATTTTCTTACTGTGTGCCACGTGGCGGCATTGAACGCGCTTGAACGCGCGCATGCGCGCTATGAACGCGCATCGAACGCGTTCAAGCGGTTACATAGTTGTGGTAAGGCGCAGTATCTTCTGACACCCCCGATATCCCGTACTAAGGAACTGCTATGCCAGCCTCAACCCTAAGCTACGCACTAGGAGGATAGCCAACCCTAAGTCGTGAATCATGGACTCAGTCTGTATCTATTCACCCTGGAGAATGTGTTAACCCTGTGTTGTATGGTAATCTTTAAGAGTTGACAATCCTCTGTTCCCTTGTATGTCCCTAGAGCCCGGTCCGGCCCCACGGTGAAGTGCAACATATCCCCCGACATCCCACACTAAGGAACTGCTATTCCATCCTCAACCCTTGACTAGTAGGGGGGTAGGTGTCTCTGCTTAGCCCGGGTGGCTGCAATTGTCTAGTCAGGTCACCCCACCAAGATGGTGATGGGTGATGGTCCCGGGTGGTCAACGGTAGTGTAGGACAGGGGGGGGGTGGGGGTGCACCAGGGCAAAAAAAATGAGAGGAATGGTGGGTGGGGTCTTCAGAGGGGTTCAGCTGAACAACCGCGTGGCCGAGTACTGTTGGTGACTGCCATCGGTCGAGGATTCCACCTCTACAACGACCTGGGCGCTATAAATAGCCCCACCTCGACAACAACCAGGGCTTACAAAAAACTTAGGGGAACTGGAAACTATGCGGGAGTCACAAAAAGAGTTTTAATGTACGGCTTTGGTCAAATAATAGTTTCAAATTGCACTGTTGGCAATGTATACAACCTAGGTTTCGGGTCAGGTAGGGTTGCGTGGGGATGTTTTATGTTGGGGGAATGCCTGATGTGTATTTTCAAACTGCTTTTTTTTTTTTTTTTTTTTTTTTTTTT